AACCTTATAACATTATACATAAATTATATTGGATTAACATAAATGAAGACAGCTGGTAGAATAAAACTGTTTTCTGTGGCTTTGGATCGTTCTTCAAATGAGTTTTTTGTTGTCATTTAACTGACCTGCATCAGGACATTAGACATTATAAAAGGAACATTTAAAGTATTACTACCCTGGGAAAACTCTTCAGTCTTTCTAGGAATGCCTTCTTTCATCGTCACTGATGTGTGAAACTGGCAGAAGCTCAGATCACAGAAATGGATTCTTCCGAGGCTGATAGAGAAAGCAGCTGAAACTGGAAAAAACTCTTTGGACTTTTGTTATTTCTTCAAACTATGTTTGATGAAACTGTTCCTCTATCAAATCCCTTGGAATCCTCTACTGAGCCTCAAAATGGCATCGCTTGGGGCACGGTCTTAAAGGGGCAGTGTTATGTTGTTATGTAACAGAGACTGTTTGGAGCTTCACGTCATGCTATGATGTTATTCCCTTGGCAAAAACAGACCTGGAGTGCTGCTTTGATTCTTTCATGCATGTTTGAGAAATCCTTTAATCTCCATGGCAACCATTCAGCTGTGCAAGACGCATTGGTGGACCTAGCCCTGTCTTCGGGGACGAATCTGACGAAGCTGCAGTTTCTGAGCTTCCACCTCACAGAGCAGCCCGCCCTACTTAGCCCCCCTACTCAGCTCCTTCAGACTAACCATTAGGAATTAGCAAACACCTGGTGGAGCTGCTGAGATCCACCAGATTATAGGAGCTACTTCTCAGAGCAACGCTGGTAAAAATGGTGTGATGACTTCCTGAGGGTGGACTTTTAGAAAGAGCAGGAATTTTTAAAGATACAGAGGCCCAATTTTAAGACATTAAAACACAAAGTCACATTTTTTTTCAGTCATGTGTTATACAGCATTTTTATAATAATTAAAGGTAACATAGTTACTTGATTGTTCTGCAAAATGCCACTGTGTGCCTGGAAAAAATATACAATAATGTCTGTTTAAAAATCTGAAATGTTGTAATCCCAAACAGGCTTGAGTTTTAACCAAGTCCATTTTTACATTTAATTTTAAATGGCTTAAACTTGTATAGCGCTTTACAAAGTTCAGAGCGCCCCAAAGCACTTCACACTACAATCATCCATTCACACACACACGCACGCACGCACACACACACACACACACACACACACACACACACACACACACACACCCCCACACACACACACACTGGTGGTGGTTAGCTTCTGTATAGTAGCCACAGCTGCCCTGGGGTATATCACGGCACCACCAGCCTCCTTGAGTGGCAAAGAAGCTGGTGGGTGGCAAGGAGGGTGAAGAGTCTTGCCCAAAGACACAAAGACTGACAACCCACCTTCCGCCGTCACAACCAAATGTTGGATTACGTCTGAAATCTAACCCAAATGTTGGAGTTCCAATGAAACCCTTTGCGCACAGACATTAAACAATGTGCGACAGCTAGCTGGTGACAACAGGCGACAACATCCCCAGTTGTGATGCTGTCGTGGTCAGCATCACAACTGGTGGGATACACAACTGAACTTTTTTGATTTATTTATTTTTATAATTTTCATCTTTGCTGCCTAAGGGAGCGAAAGCGATTAAATCTTTTCCCTAATCAGTCAAATGATCTTCCCGTAGGGCAGCTGTCCCGGATCACAGACAAGACAAACGATGGAATGCATTCATGAAGTATTTATGAACATAACTGAGCAGAAAATGGAGACACAATCACTTTTTAGATTTAATTTGTGCTTATGTCAAAAAGAGTAACACATTTCAAATGTTCAATATGTTAAAAGTTAGTGTTTTAAAACTTTGACCTTGATTTTTCATAAACCCTGCAAATCTTTGCCATGCTAAAAATTTACTTCTGAACCCATTCATGGAAAAGTTGATTCAAAACACATTAACTCCAAGTACCTATAAAAGAACTTCAATTAAAAGCTAATATTGAAAAATAGCTTAAACCTTAAATATATCTTTCTTGAGCCATGGAAATTGTCTGGCACAACTCCCAGAACCTTGGCGAGTTTCCCTGTCAGAGAAACATGAAAAATGGTTGTAAAGACGGATGGAGGCAAACAGCTGGAAGGTTTTCACTCTGCATTCAGAAGGAACAGACGAAACGTTCTGAGCTGTGGATGTGCAGAGCAGCTGGAGGCGCAACCCAAGAGGCATGAGACGCCTTTCTGCAAAAGTAGAATGTTAGTTAGATTCGTTCTGTGATTTAAACAGGAGTTTTTAACAGATTTTGTTTTGAAATTACATCTGATTGATTTTGATTCTCTGGTGTTTTCATTTATGAAACTGAAGATGTTATGAGTCATTTTGCTGCAGTGTAGCTGGAAAGGTTTCACTGCGGCTGACTTTTCTCAGTTTGTTATGTTGACTCCTTATTCCAAAGAAGATTGCAAAATTTCTGGCACGGAATTCAACACAGAATAAATAGTCATCAGAAATAATCAGCAGAAATCACGTTAATTCCCAGCCTTTGCCAGACGCATCCTTCCAAAAGTTTCTAGAAGCCGACTCAGCTCCTTCAGACTAGCCAGGAGTAATTAGCAAACAATTGGTGGAGCTGCTCATCTGTTCAGCTCATTATAGGAGCTAATTCTCAGTGAAACGTCCTAAGAACATTCTTAAAGAGTTAATAGAGGAGCCATGTTGTGATGAATTCCTGAAGGCGGAGTTTCAGAAGGAGCAGGAGTTTCTTAAAGAGACAGAGGCCCAATTTCAAGGTGTCACTTTATGAAGTCAAATTTCCTTTAAGTCATGTTTGATATTTTTTAGCATTTTCCTAATGACTGAAGGTAGCATAGTTATGTAATTGTGCTATAAAATGCCACTATGTGCCTGGAAAATACATGAAACTGGCAATAAAAAATATGTTTTTTTTTCTCACAATTTAGAGTGATTTTCTTTTAAAGGCTTTAACCAATTAAAATACGTTTTGTTACTTTAATAGGAGATTTGTTTGAAGTACGAGCAGACTGACTGAAGAGCTCAGTCACAGAGAAAATTAAACTCACATCTCCAGCTTCTACTGTGCTGAGTGGAGACGGTGAAAACTTATTCAGACAGCTTGGCAGAAGCATCAAAACTTTTCCCGCAAACCAATAATTCCTAGTGCAGAATTTTGAGAATTTTTAAAATTTATTTTGGAATAAGAAAGAAACATAAAAAGGTGTAAAAAGTGAAGCACTATGAATGTCTTCCCATGGCTCCCGACATCAATGCATTCCCAATCTGCATGCAGCCTCATGTTAAAACATCAGATCTGAAAACATGTGCTTCTGTTGTAAAAAAGAAAAAGAAAAAGAAGAAAAGCAATAAGACACATCATCAGGTGTCCAAACCCAGATGCTGAACAGACAGAAGACGACACGTGGTTTGTTTGTTGAATTCCTGTATTTTATAGATTCTTTATGCTTGCAAAACCATTCCATGTTTCTACAAAGGTGATACAAAAACCAAACCGAGGCTTGATCACACAAATACTGCTGCACTGGAAGCTTAGCTACTCTGCTTTCTAACATAACCATTTCGAAACAACAAAACATCTTTAAAACGTTGCACTGAAATTATAATCTGAAGGATTAAAGTTGTTTTAATGTACATCTGTACAGCTGACAGACTATACGAGTCTTTCTGCCACAGCTGAGCCGTTACTCAGTAGCTTCACCTTTTTTGCAAACCAGCTTGAGGCGCATACTGAGCAAAACCTTCCGCTTGAAACCAAGAGTCGGCGTTTCAGAGTTTCACGTTCAGCAATAAAAACTGTTTAAATCTCTGATACAAATAAGAGCTGCACAAACAGGCGGCCTCTGTGTAGCATCCATAAACCCCTATGTATTTTGTGTTGGGATTTTATTTGATAAACTGACACAAGTTTCACAAGAATTTCTTTCTTTCTTCCTTTCTTTTAATATTTAAAAATAAGAACCTGAAAAGTTTGGTGTGTGTTTAATACAAACTGGTGAAACCAATTACCTTCAAAAGTCATGAGATTGTAAAATATAATCTCAGCTTTACGAAGCTGGTAAAGACTGACCTGAAGAGACAGAAAGCTGAGATTCTATTGAAGGTTGGTGCTACGAAAACAATGATTCAAAAAGTTAATTTTTGCATTTTTCATTTGTAAAAAACAAACAAAAAAGAAAAAACATTTCTATTTTTTTTCACTTTACAGGTATGAATCCCTTTAGGTTGATTTATCACATTGAGTCCCAGAAAAAAGAAGAAACCGTGTGGTTGTAGCTTTCAATAATAGTGCTAATAGTGCAATGTCTGATAACTGACCAAAACATAATTAGCAAACTGTCACCGGTCGTCCAAACAAAAGATAATTCAGTAAGTCTCTGTTATTGGTCCCACTGTTAAAAATAGCTGCATATCTCAAACAAGCAAAAGTCTGTATTTTAATATGCGGAAAGCAATAAATAAGGTCACAAATATATACACATAAGCTTTCTTTTTTCCCCTTTCTTTCTTTTTTTTTAACGTTTGACCACATCACAACCAACCATATTAACATTTCCACACTCTATGTCCCCCATGACAAAGCAAGCAGAACGGTTGCGAAGAAACTCTGAGTTGACATACTTTTCACAAAATATATACTTCTTCTTTGGTCAGCAACATTTTCAATGTTAAAACAAAAAACAAACAAAAAAAAAACAATAATGGCAATGGCAATCCAATATACCAGTATATAGCTTTTTAAATGGATAATTAAACACTTCATGTATTAACTTTAAAATGAAAATCTCTTTTTTAATAGCATAACCTTAAATACTCTATACACATTTACAAACTTCTTTCGCAATGTTTTAAGCTCACCAGGTGCTGTATATGACATCCACACCCTACACCAGTAGTAAACACACTCAGAGAAGTCGGCTAGAAAAGCATTAGTTCTTTCTAGGGGTGTAATGATACATCCAGCGTATGACATGGAGATTTGTGTGACCCCCCCCCACCCTCCTTTTTATTTTTCACACACGCAAAAAACCTCAGCTTCATAAATGTGAGCGTTTTTGGTAAATGTAAGATATTTAAGTTCAAACCTGATCAATCTGGGTGCTTCACATTTTAGGACAATGTTTAAATGAAGCCCAAAAGCAATAAAAAGTTACCACTGTGGTTTAGTACCGATAGGACGCATCCACGCAGCCAGCTAACTCCTATCAACTGGCTAGTAAGCCGGGCTCACTTACTCAGTGGGCTTGCAAATATTTTGTACCTCGTCTCTCACTTTGTTTTTCTTTATCCAAATTGTTGCTGCCAAATTTAATGCGATGGAGGGCACTTCAACGCTTTTGTGGCTGAATGTCACCATCAACACAACAGGGAAGTATTTCAATAACTACTTCCTTCTGAACTTAAAGGTAGGAGTCGAAAACACAAGACAATGTGTCAGGTCCAAGTTCCTACCTTCATAAGTGGGAGCTGTAAGAATGGCTTACATTTTTCTCATCAGATGAAATCACATTTTGACGATGGACAGTAGCTCAGAGGACAGATTTCACATTTCCAGAAACACCATGGCACAACGATGCTGTGGAATCTCATAACACCCCGAGCTTTTCCTCAGTCTGCAGCTTTTCAAGTGAAACTTAGATATTCTAAATTTCCCCTTTAGAATTTTGACGGTACCTACCAAAAATATTTATACCCCTTGAAATGTTTTACATGTCAGGTTTCAATCAAACATCAATGTAGAATGTTTTATGTAGAACACTAACGCGCAGAAGTTAGCCTAATCATTAAATTCCTATACAGTTCTGCTTGATTCTCATCTCTCTTCAGTGATATGTCTGGGATGTCTCCATTGGAGTTTGATTTCTCAGGTTCGGTTCATCCAATCAGTTAACAGAAGTTGAGTTGCGAACAATGATGTTGCGGTTTTGTTATGTTTTAGAATTGTATCTGCATGTGGCAGTGGAGGAAGTCAACAAAATCGTTCAGTCTGTGTTGGCCACGCTTCCAAATATTGAGCAATTAAAGTCGAAGCAAGAGGAATGTTTAAGACATTTTATTCCTGGTGTCGTTTGGCTTTCACTTCTCTCTTGGCAGTAGGGGGAAAGTTGTTTACAGCGCCCGCAATCTCCGGTAAGCTTTATGGCGTAGCTTCCTTCACGATCCAGCAGGTGCATTACGAATATCCCATCCATACTGAGTAAAATCAGATCCATTCAATTAAAGCATGGAACAACAACACACTGCTTTTCACCAGGCTACACTGTAGAGAATAACGCCGCAGGTTGACACAAGCTAGCAAACTTGTAGAAGATGGAGACCAAAATTCAGCTTTAAAATCCATGGCACATGGGGTTGGTATATCTGGTGGATATATACCATCTTATCGTGGGGATGTGTTTCAGGAACTGGGAGGCTTTTGATATTTGTTGAAAATGTTTGGGAGGTTGTAAAAGACTTAAGACGACAACGAAGGTTTACCTTCCAGTCGAGAATATTTGGCAGAACTTCAACACTAATGTTCAAGATTGAGTGGCGACCAGTTTTAAGGGTTTTCCATGTAGCACAACTGAATTCTTCTCTGTGCTGGTGTAAAAGATAAAATCCCACTAAAATACTTGACGGTTTGTAGTAGTCACACAACAACAACAACATTCCAACAGGTATGAATACTTTCACCAGGTACTCCACAGTGAATGCAGTACAGTTCAGTGCACCTGAGTTTCTACTAAAACATTAGATTCAGTTATTGGTTCTTCTTCCTGTAACCATTACAGTTCACATAACTGAGCATCATGAGAGGAACACAAACACACACACACACACACGCCTCAGCCCGGCTCCAGAGGAGCAGCAATCAGTCAAATGGAGTGATGTGACCTGTGCTGCTGGAGTTCAGCCTCCGATTGAAGACTCTGTGACCAACGTAGCTTCCTGCAACGTCTTCTCTCATGTCTTTTCTTTTTTGTTGTTGTTGTTGCTGTTGTTTGTTTTTAGTGGACAAAATGATTGCGAGGCTCGTGTCTTCATTCTGTTAGAAACATTTCATCCAGGAAAAGAGTTGCCTCCCACCAGAGAGCGAAGAGTTCGATGAAATGAGGTCCTGAGTTTGGTCCTCAATGCACACTTTCGTTCGAGTAACTTAAGCCTTCCTCTGGGCTTTTTTCTGCCGCCGTTACGTCTGGATTTAGGCAGATGCATTCGGCACTCTGCACAAGAAGATAAGAAAGACAGGAATTGTCAGTGTGTTAAAAGCAACAGGGTTATACCCTTTTCCTATAGTCTGACATGTAAAAACTTCAATAAGATGCAGCGAGGTTTGTTGATGAAATGTGTAAAAGTTCAGTTGAGATAAGCCTATATATATATAAAACACCAAAAAGTCTAAAAGAGAAAAAGTCTTCATTAAACCATGTTTTGAGTCATTTTAATTGAAATTTGTTTTGATGACGTTGTTTTTGTATATTAAATATGATCACAGATACAAAGACGTGCTTTACTCCAACCCTGTTTAGACATGCCTGTTTGTTAGTTTAAGGTTTTGGAAATATATTGCTCTCATTGATATAATTTTATGCACCAATATATTATGCAATTTGAAAGAAAAACAAATACCAGTAAGAGATGTGGCAGCCAGCCATAATTTACTCCTGTGTGTGTCATGAAGTTTCAGCTCTCTATTCAATCCAATTTTTTATTGGATTATTTTTGTTTCAAATATAGCATCAGATGGTTCCCTCCTTAAAAGAAACTCCTTGTGGCTCTGCAAGTTCAGCTATACAAACTCAGATCGCTACATAAAACAGCTGTGTTAGAGGTTGGAAGGGGAATGCGTTTCATTGCGTTTCATTCTATGTATTGCCTTACATGCCAAATTGCTGGCTAAGACCAGACCAGTTTAACAGTGGTGGGACAGGCTTAATTTGGAGGATGGAGAGGGGATGAATCTACGTAACAATAATGATATTACTCAAGTAAAAGAAAAAGGTACAGTGCAGTAAAACTACTTATATAAGTACCTTTTTTCCAAAAAAGTTACTAAAGTGAATGTAACAAGTATTACCCACTTTTGAACACAGACAACAACATCAGTAGCCTACAGGCTACTCGTTAACAAGCTTAAGGAGCTATATTGGTATTAGCTAGTCATCTTTTAGCTAACATTACCTGCATCCAACAGTATTACTCAACACAGTCGGTAAGTCTGGGGGAAAAAAACTGTGCCAACTTCTTTGGGTTTTGCTGGTTTGCTGCCATGATTCTAATCTTGGCACCATTCTGACCACAGCCCCCCCCCAAAAAAAAAAAAATTTTAATTTTTTTTTTTTTTTTTTTTTTTTTTACAGAAATAGGAAAAAATTGGGGCCCTGTTAATTACTGTTAGTGTTTTTTAAAATTGTTTTTAGCAGTAAAAATGAATTGTTACCCCTCCCAGACCAAAAAGTACTGAACTCCCACAGTATCTATGTTAAATGGTTTGTTCCTGCTTAGCGTGCTTGACGGTGACGTTTTCAACAGCAGTCAGTAGAAGACAAGAACGACTGTGGCAGTTACTATGCTGCCTAGAAAAATAATAAAGTCAAGTTTAAAAAAAATTAAAAATAGAGAGATAGGAGAGAAAAAGACAAGAGTGTCTAGTTGTAACACAGTTTTCCTCCAAGAGGTGAGTAGACTGTGTGTGATTATCAACCATTTAGCATAGTTAGCTTAGCTAAATACTACTGTTGCCTCCGTACCATTTAATGAATTAAGGAAAAGAAATGCCAAGATATTTATATATTTAAATTGTCCCTGTACCTTTTACCACACTTGACAACAGGTGAGTCAGTCAGCAGCAGCTCTAATCCCCGATACCAACATAAGCCCCTGTCCCAGTGAAAAAGGTGAGCAACGCTGTGTTCAATTACAACCTAGTTAGCATCATTCCAGTGAGTCTATAGGGGTTTCTCTGTGTCTTTACTCTTTTTACAATTACACAACAAAAACAATGTATTTGTTGCTGACAGAAATTCAAACAATCTTTATAAAATGATAATAGAAAACAGCCTCCTGTCTGGACTGCAGCCAGTCCAAACAGTTTTACCTTGGCTTGCATTTAAATTACAGATATCTGTTGCCACGTTCCTCCTGACCCGTCCTCTCCTAAGTGAAATTAAAGCTGTGGTATGCAACTTTTATTAAAAAAATATTTTTTTTTACATATTTGTTTGAACTGTCATTGTGTTTGACAGTATGGCATGAGAGATAACTTGTGAAAAAATTATTTCCTCTGCCTTCTCCCAGCGCGGTCTAGAAACAACCAATCCATATCAAACATGCACATTCTCAAAAAGTGTTTTGTTGTCTCAAACCAACCGTGTCTGAAGATTCCTATTTTTCCAGGTTTTTAAATCAGGAAGGTTTATAGCAAGTCAGTTAGTTTTAAACATCGTTTTAGAAATGTTCCTCTACATTCATTTCCTGTGATGAGGCGGCACTCTATGGAAGAGGTGGCTGCAGTCAGAAATGAAAGACACATTTTACAAGGTAGTGACATTTATGGATCCAATTAAGTATCAGCAAATGTTAGAAGCAAGCATGAGGAAAACTGGAGATGTAAATCAACTGAAATATTTTATTCCTGGTTATTTAAGACTGACTAATTTGTTTTTCTGTTTATTCGCTGACGCACAGGTGTAAACCCAGCGCGAGCATCTTAGCGCTTATGTTGCGTTTAAAGGCTGCTCGGAAAAGCAGGTTACAACAGATTAAAGAGTTTTAACTCCTGAAAAAATGTGACAGAAGGCACAGATATGGGAAGTGCGGAAGCCCCTACTGTATCGCATTGATATAGGAATTACAGAGAGCTGCCCACTTTAAGGTAAAAACAACAAACAGCTTCAGGTCCAAGGACCGACTCTGTGGGCGGGTAATGCCCGCCAATGGGGCCAGTGTTCTGCAAGCAGGTTTTCTGAGACTTCAGAAGATTAACTGAGCAGAGCGATTCCTTTTTAGATCTTGAAGGATCAAAACAGGTTTTTAGTTGGAATTTGTGGAGAAAACATCTATTAATAGGGTAAAAACAGCAGAACGAATACAAAAAAATTAAATAGGGTAATCATAAACAAACAAAACCAACCATGTTGTAAAAATGCAGAGGCTCCCAAAGTTGGGGCGGGGTTTTATGACATGACCCCTGAGGTGTATGTAGAGCTAAAACTAAATATTATTTCATAACTAATAATACGAAATAAATAAATGTACAATTAAATGGCTCTTTAAATTCTGTACAGTAATATGCCTTCTACTCCTTAAAAAAAAGAAATATCTATAATCATTTGACTCTATATATTAATTCTGTAATAAAGATAGGGAAATAAACCCAAGTATTTTTAGGGGTTACCAGGCTGCCAGTATGGGGCAGCCTGTCTCTTAAACTGTTACTTTTAGGGTTGCAGGCTGAAGCATTTGAGAACCCCTGCATGAATGTGTGTTTTTGTTGGTGATCAGCGCTCAGGCTCACCATCTGCTTCTGCTTCATTTTGAGTTTCCGCGTCTGCAGGAAAGAGTTGAGCCCCTGCATGAGGTTCCCCGTGATGGACAGCACCAACAACACCAGGATGCAGGCGATTTGCCCTGGTTTCATGAACAGATCGGAGAGTGGATATCATTCAAATCGACTCCGTTCTGTACATGTAGATGTAGCAACAACAGCAACAAAAACACTTACATGTTTGTGTTGATGTTTCTGTGGAGACAGAGATTTTGTATGATGAGCACAACTAGGTTATGAATAAGTTCATAGAATATTTGACTTTCCCTGGAAACAAATCATGCAATACTTTCTGAAATAAAATTCAGTAAATTGTAAGAAAAAAAAAGATCCTCGCAGTTTTATTGACATTGCTTAATCTAGTGTTTTCTTTATTATTTTCTTTCCAAAAATACTTTTTTTTTTTTTTTTTACAGCTGTTAGTAAGGAAGAATTAACAATGAGGAAATATTCTGTTGTGTGAGACTTTTGAACTTATTTTTTTAATTTAAGTTTAATTTTTTTAGCTTAATTATCACAATAAATATTGTGTAAGGCATAACCACTAACTATGTATAAATTCATAGAACATAAACAACTATTTGACTTTCCCTGTACAGAAAACACACAATATGTGTTTTTAAAAATTAAAATTACAAGAAAGGAAAGAAAAAACCCGTAGCAGTTCTAGTGATGTTTTTTTTAAAAAGAATTATTATAATAATAAGAGGTTTGTTCATATTAACTAATGGATAAATTGTTGCCACTTCTTTCTTAGATTTTTTTTATATTGTTTATTTCCTTTTAACTCTTCTTCCAGTTTCTTTTTAAAGTCTGTTTGGCTGTGAACACAACAGTTTGACCTCAGTCACATGAAATAAGCCTAGATTTTGCTATAATTTTTATTTTTATTTTATTGTGATTTTATTTTTATTTTCTTTGCAAAAACATCAAGAGCTTACCTGTTCTCTGACTCATATGAGGCACTGGAAATGACAAAAGCATAAAATAATGTTAGAATTTTAAGCAAGCTTATTAATGACATTATTAAACTACTTATGCAAGACATGTAATCATTGGAAAAATAAGTAATGAAAAGATGCATAACCATCTCTTCTATTGGGCATTTTCAGTAAAATTATGGTAGGCTTCACAAAAAATGTGCAAGGTGGAAGTCATGCAGCGTGAATATGAACATATATTTTCGAAAACCATATATTCATGTACTGTGTGCATACAGAAAGGTTTGGCAAGTGTCTACTTAAAAACAATTATGGCAACAAAGTAATATACAAAATTGAACAGATTTTAAGAACTTCAGCTTTAAGTAAGAACTATTAATTCAATTATGTTTGTATGGCATACTAACACATGTTATTAAATGCATAAGTGTTAATAATCATTATGACTTGAATAATCATAATGATTATTCAAAACTAATCATAAGTTTTATCTTGAGAGTCTAAATTTAATATTTTCAGTTTAGGTGTTTTAGGCAAGTTAATACATGGAGTAAAATTGTACTCCTAAGTTGTAATAATACTAGTCAAATGTACTAAAAACAAAACAAACAAAAAAAAAGACAAATAATAAAAAAGAAGAAACCTTCTGTTTTTGTTCTTGTAGTTGTACGAGTAGTTTTTGGTGACAAATCTGGTGATTGTTTTGATGTTAGGGTAGATGTACAGATAACCATCAGAATTTTTTTTTGATGAAATGGGTGATCAGGCATAGCATTATGACCACTTGTAAATAAGGTGAATAACATTCATTATGTCTTGGTACTTCACACTGGGTGGGACATAGTCTTTAAGGCAACGGGTGAACATTTGTTCCTCAAAGTTGATGTGCTAGCATCAGGGAAATCGTGAGCAAAGTGACTGGGTGGGAACCTCTCCAAAACCTCCGCTCTCCTGAGGGGCTCCTGCCATACAGTGGTCGCTATCTATCGAAACTGTTCCAAGGAAAGAACAGTGGTGAGTTGGTGACAGGCTGGGGTTGCAAATGCTGGCCATTGACACATACTTATTGCTGCTATAATTGTTGAAGGAGTTAATTCTGGTCCGGATAGAAATGTGTCAGAATACGCAGTATCTGTAGTGAAGGTGGCTGTATAGCCATAAGCCAGCTGGACTGCCAGTGATGGTCATAAGGTAAAGGCAGAGTTTGCAAGCAGAGTTGCAGTTATTAAAAATAATCAAAGAATATTTTTCAGCAATGAAATGACCAAATAAAGTGGATAATCTTACCACTTTGGAAAGAGCATGGCAAACTAGGGTTAGAGTCCGTTGACTGCGTTGTTAAAGATGATTTTGACGTAGTTGGTGGAGATGTTGTCGATGTAGTTGTCCTAGGTGACGTTAACGTAGTTGTCGGAGATCTTGTTGACGTAGTTGTCCTACGTGACTTTAAAGTAGTTGTTGTCGACATAGTTGTCCTAAGTGACGATGTAGTTGTTGGAGATGTTGTCGATGTAGTTGTGCCAAGTGACGATGACATAGTTGGGGTGAATGTTGTCAGTGTAGTTGTTGAACATAATGTTGATGTAGTTGGTGGAGATACTGATGTGGCTCCTGCAGATGTTACATCTAAAATTACAAACATTTCAGTAAGTTCTATAATATATAAGCGGAGAGTAAATGACAAAGATTCAAATAAAAAATTTGTCTAAAAAGTAAAGGTACACTGAACCACACAATAGTCAGGATTAGCTTTAACAAACAACATAGCTTTAACTCTTAACAGTAAGTTCTCACACACTGACGGCCTGGGACTACACTGTTTTTACTGATGATGATGAAAGTAACCCAGACAACCCCACAACAACCCCAACCCCAAACTTCACAGTTAGGATGGTGTTCTGGGGTTTGAGAGCTTCTTCCTTTGTCCTCCAAATGAAAAGGTGGATGGCAAAAGAGTGACCTCCTGGGATTCTCTGAGTTCAGTGGCCACAGTCTACATGACGTCTCTGCAGTTCAGTGAACAAGACTCCAGGGATCCTCTTTGGGTTTCTAAATCCTTCCGGAACTTTTCTCCAGTTAATCTACAGACAAGACTCTCTGTGAGTTATCCCAGCCTCCTGGTTGTTCTCCAGATGAGGCTTTCCAGCTCCTGCAGTTTTGTGCCAGCCTCCAGTGCTCTTACATTGCCACTGGTCTTCTGGACTTCTCCACCACTAGTGTACTGGTTGCCTCCCACAATTCATCCACTGACAATCCTTGGAATTTCAACATCAGACTCTTAGTCTCCTTTGCTCTATCCAGCGTCATCTGAGACATGGTTCTATGAATGACCTCTGAGTTTCCTGCCTAAACTCAGTTTTTTGGGGGGCATTTTTGGTTTCAGGCCTTCCTGCCAATACCCTTCCACCTATCCATATTGGTTATTCTCTGATATTGTTGTTAGTCTTCAGCTCCCTCTGTGTTCTGTGTGTAATTAGTGTCCTTCCCTCAGTCTGCCAACTTGCACTTCTCCACAGCTGTTCAACATTCGATTGATTATTGTCACCTGATGCAGCGCCTCCACAGGCGAAGACAGGAAATTTTTCAAAGGATCTGGTTTGTTTGACATTGTGCAGTGTGAACGAGATTCACAGCAGTTGAAAATGTAACAAATGCTGTAATTTTGGTTACCAATTTGGATCAATTGGAGACCACTTGATGGGGACTAAATATAGGTAAACCTGAAAAATGTAAATAAGTTAGTGGAGATGTTGATTCATCTAAAATCAACATATCCTACAACTTACTGTGAGTAAGTTCTAATATATGAGAGTGACTAATAAAGGCCCAAGAAACAAAAGGTACAATAAACCATGAAAGTCAGGATTAGGAAAAGAAAATCACATCACAGCTCTAACAAACTCTTAACAGAAAGTTTTAAAACACTGACATGAATAATTATACAATTTGTACAACACAGTATAGAAAAGTTATTATTATACACCTGACTGTAAAGAATTTCAAAAACAATAACTGAGTAGAGGTTTGAATTTATTGTGGATTTTTTTCCCAATCCATGCATATTAAGAAACATAATATATAAAGAGAAACACAAGATGTTTTTCTCTGAGTCACTCAGGCCATGGAAAAAGGCTTGAATAACCCTGAAAAGTGAAGGATGAATTCAGGATGATTAAGTTTAGCTCTGTTTACTGCTACACGTTTATTGTAGTCCTCTGTGGAAAAATGAGATACCTTGATTCAATTTGTAAAAATAAATACAAAAACAAAAAGAAACAAAAATCTAAATCACACAACAAGCTGGGTGTTACATCAGCTTGACCCAGAGTAAGAGCTCCTTTCAACAAACAACTGTCTGTGGCACCTGCCATGTCAGTTTTACTGTCATCCATCTGGGAACCATATCCAGTTAACGGATTGCTGCAGAGCTCGTTGCCCTTCATAAGTAACCATCTGGTTTTTGGTTACCTCTCTGGGTAAGACCCTCCTCCTACAATCATTCAGCCCCACAAAATGTCCTGGTGGTTCCAAACTGCCTCCATTTACCAAAGAAGGAAAGCTACAGAAATCAATATTGCGTCTGATTTATGCCTCTGAAGTCATTTGGCTTCACACTTTGTCCCAGCCATGGATATTTCCAAACCCTGCAGTTTCCAAGACCTGTCCACATCTGGACTCCAAATACGCAGTAGAAAAATCTCAACTCAGAGGAAACTTCCTTGTAGTTTTTGAGCTTCAAGGAAAGAATGAGAATACTTGACTTCCTACTTTATTTTTAGTTCTATGAAAATTTGCTGAAATGTAAGAAAAGGGCAGAAAAAGAAGCTATTATTTATGTTATTTTGAGATCTAGCTTGTAGAGTTTCCAGAGACTCGAACCAAAAGTTGGATTTTCACAATATTCAGATTTCCTTTGGTGAACAAGTTCAAATTAATTTTTAAAAACATTTTAGGGACTCTGATAGAGTTGTCAAACTGACTTATGTCATTTTTTAATAGCGATTTCCCTGGCATAGCATTTTGTCAGAAGAGAGACGCAGAGTAATTCCTAATTACCAACAATGATTATGTCTGATCCGTGTTTCAGTGACTATTGAAGGCTTGTGGACAAATAAAAAAAATAAGAAAAAACAAACAAGAAGAAACATCAACAAATGAGGAAAAATTAAATGTCAGTGGACAAATTAGGCAATAATGTAATGAGAAATGAGTTAAATGTTTGTGTTTTGCATGAAATGGGCCACAGTTAAATATTAAATACAATTTCTAAAATCAGCAAGATTGTAAAGTAGTCATGAATAAAGAGCTTCATTGCTGACTTTCTAAAGTTGCAATAACAATTTAGATTTTGTTGTGTTTGAATGAACAAATGAATTTATTTACTGCACCAGGTTAGAGCCTAACATGCTCATTTCCACTTGTAGTTCCCAAAACATGCAGTAACATTAAAATCCAAACATAGAAGGTAAAACAATGAACTAAATCAAGATGCTAAAACTTACCATTATCTAAACTGTTCCATAGCTGTTGCAAAGTATTGATCTCAGAACCTGAAACATACAGCATGGTTAGTTTTAGAAAAGCTGCATAATAAAAATATATGTACAATTGTCAAAGAACAGAAGACAATACAGTACTCAAATGTCCACATTAGGAAAAACAATAAAAGCTTAAGTGTGCAGTAACACCATAATGAAGTACTCACTGAAGTTTTGGCAATCTTCATAGACTAAAAATAAGAAATATGAATATTAGTGAATGATATTACAATTAAAAATAATTTATTCACAATAAAAGCAATGATTGTCTTTAAATATTTGCTGCAATGCACTGTGACCAACAGACTTGAATCTGTATGTACCTCACTTGTATATAAAGTTAAATTTAAATCGTTGTTGTGTATACATTCTTAGCAAACATAGCAGTTTCTCATGGCGAAAAAAAGTTAAATACAAAAACTTACAAAAAAACCCCCCAAAACAAAACACAGGAGCAAGGACAAAAGACAAATAAGGAATCCAAAGAACATTAAGGAAAGAAAACACACAAAGAACATGAAGTGGAACCAGGAAGTGACTGAATTAGATAAAAGGAACCGGCAAGAAGTGTCCGAGAATGAAGTGATCGAATGCAAGTTCTGGAATGCTGAATATACGATCTAGGCTGATTAGCTAAGTGATTACAGGTGTGAGTGGAGAGCAGAAGGCACACAGAGGAGAGGGAGTGAGAGAGTGGCACAGGGGGCGAGGGAGAGTACACAGGGGAACAGGAAATAAATCTAACACTACAGAATAACTAAAGAAACATCATAAAACTAGAGAAGCAAAGAATAACTATAACTAAGAAATAAACAACTAGAAACACAGAGAAGAACTGAACTAAAGGAAAACAGGATCAAGACAGATCTAACCAAGATAAAAACACAAAATAATAATGAAGCTAGAATCAAATCAAACCACCAAAACAACTCAACAACCAGGATCCTAACACTTTGGAAGGTTTTCTCTCTGGATTGTTCTGTATTTACTTCCATCCATCTTCAGTTCTTTATCTAGAATCAGTTCTGATCCAGTCTGATCGGTGCATCTTTCTCCACTTCACTATTTCCCCTGTATGTCACAATAACTGTTTTTCCTATCAGAGTTGCTGATCTCAGCATCTCCACGAATGGTCCAATCAAAGCATCCAATCAAATAATTTGTTCTCAATAAATAATAATAGGTTGGGAGGTCTACTTCTTCTCTCCCCCATTCACAGACTCTTTTGGAGATCTGCAAGAAAACTTTGGCTTCACTATTCTAAAACATGAATTTCACTTCTATTCTGGAGAAATAGATGTAAAATGAAAGAACAGAGGTATGAATAATAATGGTGATGGACTGGATCGGCCTTCACATGAACACACTTGCTGTGTTAATATCACAACCTGAGCTCTCTCTGTTTTGATCTCACTCTGTTTCAAATGATAAGGCACAATTGTTAGGTGTCATTGTTTCTTACTTTCTTTTGCGGATTCAGTTGTGTAATTTACTTTGTATAGTCTGGCATAAAAACACCTGAAGTGAAATGCATGGATTTTGTGTTTCCCTTCAGTTGTCTGTGTACAGATTGTGTCCAGATTCTATAAACAAAGAAAAACATGATCAAAAACATCAACAGGTGGAAAAACAAGACAAGAAAAAGACACTGCCATTGAAATTCTGATATGTCTAAGAAATGCACTCACTAGGCCTTTAAAGCAATCCTTATTGATTTTATCAAATAATTCTCGCCCTCTGTTTTTCCATATAGTGCAATTTAGGATTTTCTGCAAAAAAGAACAGATAAATGCACACTCTTTCAAATGTAGGTAAAAGTGCAACTCATTGAAACATACAGAATGGTTCCGATTCTCAAAGATAATCATTGCATCATCAAGTTACCTCGGTGCTGGTGGCATTTACTAGGAGAATCAGATCAGTCATGTTTGTGCCGTTCTAAAATAAGCACAAAATAAGACACAGAGACGATATTTACGGTTAATCCTTTCAGTTACATCATATACAGATCATTATAACCAAAGTTGTGAGCAATGAACTAGTATATTTTAAAAAATCTTTATCAGTATTACTATTTTTCCACTAAGAGGTAAGAAGTAACAGGGCCGTGCAGAGACCTTTGGAGGGGCGAGGGCTCAAAGTAAAAAAGGGGCAGATTGAACAAGATCTTAAAACACCGTATATCAACATAGCAACAACCCATATTAATAAAGAATCTAATATTTAATTGGAACCTACTATATCATTGTCATCATGTGGGGACAAAGCAAAGCAAATGTAGTCTATGTTTCCCTGACAGGTATAATGTTTCTGTTTCTGCTGCTGACAGTTCTGGAGGGCTGAGCTGATCTGAGACCAGAGGAGAGAAGGTCACTGGTTATGAAGTTATGAAATAAGCAATTTTGCTGCTATTTTAATAAATAAACTCTACTACTTCTGTAACAACTTGGCTGCAGACTGCTTTAAAGATCAAAAAAGCTCAGACGGGTTAACTCTACATCACTTTTTGATGTTAGAACCTTTGAGATCTAGAATTAAAAGGTTGAGAGAAATCAAGGTAAAGAAAACTTAGTAGCTGCTGATAGGGGCCATTCAGGGGTCCTCCAGACATTCAGGGGCCCCTAGAAATGGTTGAATTGTAAAACAGATAATAGATCTAAACGTGTAGCATTCATTTATTGAGAATGGCAGTGCTATTAAATTTTACTTAATGTATTCAGTAGAGAATAAAAATAAATAAATAAATTATGCATTTAGGATATAATTAAGAAGTTTACTTTGTAAAAGTGCAAAGAATCATCTGGATAGTTTGATTGTTGTGTTACCATGGTTACAGCATGGTGTAATCTTCACTAAATCTACATTTACACACTGTTTGTGATGCTGATGTTCTTAGTAGGAGGGGGTCAGGGAGCCTAAATCATGATTCTGCCTAGGGCCCCATATTACCTTGGGCCGGCCCTGTGGCCTGCTGTAAAGAATAAAAGGGGCGGGGCTCCCCCTGCACATGCCTGACTAGAAAGTTAAACGTTCATGAAATTTAATGAGATGGAAATACTTGATTGCTACATTTGACTGGCTGGCTAAACATTCAATTTTAACTTATGGAGGATTACTTTTTTGTATTTGATAAACTGGAAACCAAAACAACTGAGAGACAATTAAAAGCAAAAGAAAACCTAAAATTGACCAAAATGCTTCCGGTCAACCAATGCTACTGTGTTCTCACTCCCTGCTGTTGAGTGAGAACAGTGTTTTTACTGAATGCAAGTACAAATGAACACTTGTCTGTTGTGAGTTTCACACACATATTACAGACAGAAAGGATTTTCAGTATATTATTCAACTGACAGCATTTCCAAAAAAACAAAAACAAAAACAAAAAACACAGAACTTGGCATACCCAGTGTTCTTTGAAGAAATGATCATGACAATTCTCCTCTGACAGGCCGGTGAGACTTAAAAAAACCTAGAAAAATGTAAAGCAAAGTTATTATTTTCACTGTTAATTTTTTGTTTCTTGCATTCTATAAAAATGATGAAAGAAATGAGTAGCTGTCTATATCCTTTTAAATCACCTTTCCCATCCAGTGTTCACTCTTCTTAGTATACATTCCCCGTCCACTTTATTAGGTACAGCTGTCCAATAATTTGGCAACACAAATTTTGAATCAGCCAGTGGCATGATAGAGACCTCATCTATTTGACCTTCTAACTGTGTTGAAGACAACTTGCCTGAAGATTAGGATGATTGCAACTTTAAGTTCAAAGTGAGGATCAGAAGGGGGTTGAAATTTGATCTAAACACAACCTTATTGCTGATTTCCAGACATGCATCTCTACTTTGATCTTCACACACAATCATTTCTCAGAGAACCATCCATCTCTCTCTGTCCCCAACTTCTGCTCATATCAGCCATTATATGCATTCATTAAGATATTCACCATGTCACAGAGCTCAAATCAACTCTAAGTGATGTTCTGAATGTGGCAACGAGTATGAACATATATGGAACCAATGAGTCAGTTGCTCAACCTGAGTTTGTGTTTTTTTGTCATTCCTTCCCACATCCTAATTTACATGCGATATGGATGTAAAATAAAACAAAACAAAACAAAAAAACCCCCGGCTAGACTACATAACATGTTTTTTTCTTCAAACTACTCCTTTAATTCAAAACTTTTGTCTATGTCAACATGTGATGCGCACCTTTAAAGCTGTAAATGAGTGAAAGAAACCAATTAATCACTAAACAAATAAATAAATGAACAAATGGCCAATTAGATTGATTTAGTAGACAGCATCACATTCTTTAGCTTGTTTTATTATGTACCAGTAAAAATGATGACAGAATAAAATGTACAAATAAAAAAGTTATGACGATTGTAAAACCATTGCACATGTTGCAGGCTTTCATCATTTTTGGACGCGTACCAACATGCATCCGATGAAGTTAAGGGAAAAGGAGGAAAATAAAACAATCTGACATCATCAGAGATGATTTAGCACATAGACATCACAAGTCATCTTTGCAGACAGTCAGGGTTGTGTGACTAAACAAGTAATACTTACAAAGAACAAGAGAAGGAGGCGGGAAGCCATTCCGTTACCGTGACAATCCAGGTTTACTCTTTGATGAGAGAACAGAAGATACAAACGAAGAAAACTTTAGTAGCCAGTCCCAAGGTGGAACCATGTAATACGGTTTTATTAGGGTGAAATGAAAAGTTATTTGCTGGTATTCAGCGTCATAAACAGTTCTTCCTCACATCTTTAATAAAAAACAGAAATATTTGTACACACCAGATGCTAAAATAAAGATGGACAATTAGTCACTGAGCTTCGCCAAAAGTTGATAAAAAAACAAAAGCGATGATAACAAAGCTTCATCCAGATGCCAGACACACATTCTACAGAAAGCTGTTTGGAGGTTTTCTAATGATCTGATCAACTTTTCACTGGTTATGGAACATAATTCTCCTTTTTCTGTGACAAGAAATCATCAGTATGAGGATGTTGTTTATCTTAGTTTAGCCTGTGTTTTTGTTGTATCCTCCTGACTACCAGGAAAAAAAATATTGTCCAATCACCATTTTTTTTAAATTCCACAATCTTTGTAAGATAATTAGCATACTGAAAAAATTTTTTTTGGAAAAAAAGTTTTTATTTT